CTAGGTCTGTTATGTTGACAGGAATAAAGCAAACACTGATGTTTATCTGAAAAGATCAACCTCTACATGTGTATTTATTTTAGAGGAACAAGAGGGGCACTTCTATGGCATAAATAGTGCATTTTGATTGTTGCCATTAGTATTTTTTTTTTTTTTACACATAAAAAACCCTTTCCTAAACTTTCCATGCAAAGTTCCATGTTTATGTAACGCAGGAGCAAGAGAGGGTTTGTTGATTTCTGTGTAAGATCCTCAGAAACATCCGAAGACTTTCACCGGAGCTCAGGCTAGAACAAAAGCAGCAATATTTCCAGGTAAAGCAAGAAAAAAACTTTTTTATACAGTATGAACAACCAACCACTGATAAGTAATTTTGACATCTGAGAATTATTACTGTATGTAGTCAGACAATCAAGTATGGGATACAGCTAATAATCACTGTAAACATATGCATTGAGAAAATTATAAAGAATGTGGTAGCTTCTTAAAATATGAAGGCTTTAAAATTGCACTGGTGGGCATCCTGGTGCACTGGCAGTTAAAGATGTGTACCATGTACCCACAACCTAGTTCGATTTCCAGCCACACTGTCAAATGAAAACAAAAATGCCATAGAAAATCTCCATATGAGCTGGCTACGTTTTGAGTCAATTCATAATGTATCAATAAGATGCAGTAACCTAGACTAAACCAAGTATTGCACACGCAAAGACTCACAGAGGCAAGTCGCATAGGAACAGTTGAAGCAGTTACTTTTTTATATTGGAGACTAATGCGTGAACAATGCAAACCTTAATTTTGCAGGTCCTGTAAGGTAACACAAACACAAAGTAGCCACAGACCTAAATATTGTCTGGAAGGGTTATAATAAAGTAGTCAAGCCATTTGCTTTTTACGGAGGCCTTGGCTTAACACTGTTCTTTAGTCTTGCTCCTGTCCGTTGTATCTAAAACAGGACCATAAGAGTGAAGCTTTTCAAGGCAAAAACTGAGAACCGCTGAAGAAAGAGTCATCCAAAACTTCACTCTTTGCCTCACGTGGACCAATACAAAGTCATAAATCTAACAATGCCATCATCACTATCTTTATTATCCTCCAGCAGTTGGACATTTTGGCAGCAGCAGGTGGAAGTGCAGGTCAGAGACCAGGGAGTGAGACGAAAAGATTTGCTACGGGGTATCATCTCTGACTTCGACCCACATTCCTCCACTTCTGGGGCTCATAACCTCGTCAGCTCCTTCCCTCCCTCTCTCTCCTCTGGCAGCGTTCCCTTTACATCCCCTCAATCACTCCTCACCTCCCACGTCCCTGACAGACAGTTGTATCCATTACACCATCTCCGTCCAAACCACAAATGACATTTATGACTCACCAATTTCATAGTTTAACTGCTAAATTGCACTTTCACCATAACAATACACTTTGGGGAAGTAACCGAAGTTGAGTCTCAAGGTAGTTAATGTACAGAAAATATTAGCGTGGGACAAAAGAAAGTGGTTTATGTGTGAAAAGTAAAATGCGGCTGTGACAAATCTAAATGAAATGCCTTCCCGATGATGCTTGGACCACAGGGAATTGAAAAGGGCTTTACCATACTTAACCACTGTTTAATCCTCTCCTCACTTGGCACAGACAGGGAAATCTCACAAAGAAACACACACAGGCGGAAAGTGGGGCATACCTGCCACACTACTTGAGTATCAAGGTCAGGGGAGATTTATCTTTGCAACCCAGAGACGCCTGTCAAAATACAGGGACACAAACACAATCACAACTCTTCCAAATGTAGGCATTTTTACAACGCTGGGGGACAGGGGTCAGGCAGGTTGTGCCTTCCCAGGCTGCATTGCTTGGTTGGTGGCCAGTCAGGATAACAGGGTCAGCTGTTGTCTCTGTAGGGGGTGATGGGGAGGAGGCTGGTCTACAGGATCAGGCCTAGACCAAACTACGAGCAGCCTTGTCGGCACTTTGGGCAGTGTGACCCTCAGATCAAGTGTTGATAATGATTCTAAGCTTTCAACAGACAATATACACACATTCCTCAGGTTGCACAGGGATTAACAGCTCTCAGTGCTGCTTCCTCCCTGGGGTTCACCCTGTCCTGGGACATCGTGGCCAAGCTGGGAGCAGGAACCTGGCAGCACAGAGAAACTCGCCTTTCCCATCCAACATCCCACACACAACTCTCACTCGAGGAATCTGCTAATCTGCCCTTCCTCCTCCTCCTCCTCCTCCTCCTCCTCCTCCTCCTCCTCCTCTAGGAATTACAAATGACTCATTCTGACCAGATTAAATGACCGCCAAGGGAGAGAAACTGTATTCTGTTGATATTATATAAACAGCCGGGAAATTCACTCAGGATCAAATGATGCAGTGAAAAAAATGGGAACAAAGGTCTACAAAGATCTAAACAGTTGCTTGTTGCTTCATCCTTAAATGAAAAAAAAAGTATATAGAGGCTAAAGGGAAGGCAATATTTATCTCATCATTATTGCCATGCTAGGCTCAGGGTATTCACATTTGTGTATGCTTATATGCATTAGTGGTTGACCGGGAATTGCTTCAACTGTATATCCACTCCTGGCCTTAGTTTAGCCCCACTGATTGTGAAGGAGCCCAGACAGGAGGCTCTGATACTCACTCAATGTCATGACTCTGTGTATGTGGAGACAAAGAAGATATAAACACAGCTAAGCGACTCGGAGACATCGGCCAAACACTGATTTCTTTTACCGGAGTCACATTTATGAAGAGGAGGGTTAACTATGATGTATTTCAGCTTTACTATATGTCATTGTTCTGGATATAACTCATAAGGGAAGCCCCTTTCTGTTCAAAGTGCAGCTTTGGATGAAAACCCCTGACAGGATAACAAACTTCCTGTTGGCGGACCTCCCACGGGTGGATGGGAAAATATGCAGCTCCGAACAATAAATCCAGAAAGTTGACGTACTCCGATTTTGTGTGTCATCTGATCAGTGACAAGATGTTCAGCCAGATATACAACTCCTAACCCATTCTCCCATCTGTCCAGATGTCCTACGTCTGTCTCTTGTGTGCACTTCTAAATCCAGGGAGGCAGTGGATAAAAGTTGCCTCTGCTGCTTTATTTAACCTGATATGGGCGCTCAACATCATAGACTTATATCTTTAGCAGCTCCCTTAATCAAATTAATAAATAATAAGCCACATTATGTTTTGTGGATAAAACACATGATAACGCTATAGGTTCCCTTGTGAGGTGTTTTCATTTATTTGAAACATCATACATTGCTCTATTGAGCAATAATACTAACTGATTAAAAGCCTGTTCTTCCTCATGTTAACGCTTTTTACAGTCCACCAATGTTTCCTCTCTGTCACCTGGATTTCTGTTACTCTTGTGTGAGAAATATTTCCGCCGCAAAATCTGCCCACGCTTCAAAATAAATCACCACATCTGACAAGCCTCTCAGCAGAAGCTGACCACTGTAGAGGTTGCATCTCAGCATGCATTAACATACAGAGCAGCAAGCCTCTAAACTGTTCCCAGGGGAGACATGAAGCACCAGGTTTTCTCCTCCACTGCTCTTTTTCTTTAAACTCGTTCATGGATTATCTACTCTTAAATAGGGAAACTGGATCTAGGAAAGTATCCAAAAGGTGCCAGCTCCTTCTTCTTGTCGGATAACACCTAGTGTAGCTGTTAAATTGCCATTTGCCCTGATATGGCTTTAATATTATTGTGAGTAGTCCCACACCAACAGCTGGCCTTGTGTTACCTTATGGTTCCCATTAATTCCACACAGTGAGGTAAAGAAATACAATTTTGGGAAATGACAGCACTTCTTTGGGAATTAGTAATTTGGTTGAATGCATAGTGGATACAGTAAAGCTAGTTACACTTATAAGCCTTTATAAGTTATAAGTGGACATTGTTCTAAACGTTTATGGTAAAATTCCTCAGATTCCTTAAATTTAGATTTCTAAACTTGTTTCTTGTCGAACATCAAACATTCTGATTTGCAAACTGAGAGTAGAGTTACAAGCTCTGTCAGTTATATCCACAGGAATATCAGGAAAAGCTTTTACTGTAATTATCTCCCTGATGACTGTTAATATCATCGATATTAATTCATTTGTGATGAGGTAAATCACCAACAGCAACAGTGGGGAAACAGGACAATCTGATGACTGGACTGGAAGAAGACGACCATAAGAGCATACACTGTTTGTCTCTATTCTAAAGAGAATAGAGACTTAACTAAACATACAAATGATTGAGGGCATGCACATCCCTGTCTTCCTCACACCTCGCTAACACTCATGCTAACTTCAGCTACTGTAGGCACTCTGCCCCACCCTCTCGCTCTCTCTCTCCTCTCCAGCAGAAGTGAAGGAGGCTGGACTGGGAGCAGATTCAACTCTAAGTATTTAGAACTGCTTGACTGTTTGAGAGACTGACCAACAAGAAGTGTATTACAAACATCTGAAATAACGAAAAACAGAGTTTGAAACACTGAAATGTGTCTATTTTAACGACTACAGCAGTATTGTGTATGAGCACACTTAATGATTTATTTAAACAGACAAATCAGACAAAACAGCTAGTTGCTCACAGGATACTTGTGTACATGCCTCGCCTAAATACCCAAAGAAAGTCTAAAATCATCCTCAGAAAGTGATATTTTCTGCACAAGTAGGCTATAGTTTTAAGCTCCCCACAATGTTAGATGCTTCATCCACTCACCTCAGCCCCTGCCAGGTCTACACTTGAGTAGAGAGCCGCCAGCAGTAACAGGGTGCCGCACGGTAACAGCATCGCGGCGGTGCGCAGTGGAAACCAACTGTGTGCCCAACTGTGCAGAGTGCCCACAAACAACCACCTGTTTCTTGTCTTCTTTCTTCAGGTATTTCACGGTTTATCGGCAGAGCGCGGGCAGCACGTTTGGCCGCATCTTTGTCCGAGACGTTATGAGGTTCTGATCAATGCAACTTGGTCTAGTTTCTGCTGCACCACACCCCCCTCCCAAAACGACCACCCTCACCCATGCAAACGGACTCAACCCTGCTGTTACAAACACTTTGACTTTTCTCGGTAAGGAGAGGGACTACACGGCACACTTTGGTGTTTTTGTGAGAATATTTGAGCAGGTTTTGGCGCCACAGGTACCTGTTCTGAAACTTTTCAGCTCGGAAACGCGCGCATCTCTTCCCCTGCGATATCCATTTCCTTCACCTTACCATCGCGCGCACGCCAGGGGTGACTGTAAGTAATGTAGTTCATCAAACTGGTGGCAAATTATTGACATTAATTCGTGAATTTATCATTGCAACTGTTCCACAAGAGCAGTTCCATGCGGAGCACACTGTGAAATAATTATTTACAGCAGATAAGCTATAGTGAAAATAATATAGTTGTAAATATATTTAGACAATAACCAAATGAGTGGAGAGTGATTATTGACGTTGCCTCAGGTCAGGTAGTCATGCTGTAGAAGTGTATCGACAAGTGAAACAGCGGTGTGGAACTGAAGCTTGCGCTCCGCATGAGTGGGACCATGCAAGAACAACACAACAGAGGACTGAAGAATCTGAGGTAAGCAGAATATGGGCGCTTTTCACTGCAAAACATTACAACAGTATTACGTGTTTAATCGAAATTATTTACGCTGTCATTTTCACTGACTACAGGCTGCTACTTCTGTGCCTCTCCATCGCCATCCTTGCCTCCGGAGTGCACGCGGTAAGTTTTCTCTCCCACGTGTTGTTGGTATTTGCTTGTATGCCTTTAAAGGCAAACTCAGCTTGTTGACAATTAAGGTTTAAAAATGAACCTGATGGTGTTTCCAGGCTTGGTTTTACTTTCTTGTAACTGCTGGCAGGCTCACGCAGACTGTGGGAGTGTCTGGTTTGGGGAGTTCCTCCAGTAGGAGGGTTCTTGGCTTCACATGCTGGTAAACAGCAGCAAAGCTCAAAACAGTTTCTTGTGAAATTGTGTTTCCTGCCTACTCATGTTGCAATTTTAAATTGTTGAAATTAGGACATTCATTCTGTTTTGCTTTGACAAAATGTATACACAGAACAGAAATGGGGGTTGATGTAGGGCTACAAGAAGTTGTGCTTTGCTTGACCCTTGACCTGGCAGGGGTGTGGGGTCAGGACCTTTGCAGGCATGATGATGAGTTGTTGAGCTCTATGAGCATGAGTTTGTCATGGTGTGCTTATGTGTTACAAATTAACTTAAACCAGTACTCTCCTTAATGAGAAAGGCCTGTGCCACATTCTTGTATGTCATTCTGGTTGTCAGTCTAACATTTCCCACTATTTAAAGAAACAAAGATACATTATTACAAGACAAAACAGTAGACACATAAACTGTACTTACCTCAGCATCATGACACTAAAAGTCAGGGAAAAGAAGATTTAAAGATCTGAATCTTTACAGAATCCGTGTAAAGTTGTGATTTGGAGTTAAAGGTTTTTTTTTCAAATCTCTCTTAAAGCAATACTCACAAACCCAAAGGTACATTGCAAGAGTTGCTAGTGCAGTAATCACTCCTCAAGTGATCCTTTCCTAGCAGAACTCTACTGTAAGAAATGGTGGTCAAACCCCACAGTCCTTATTCTTTCCAAAGAGCTTTTCTGAAGTTCAACTGAAGTTAATATGAGGTTTCATCAGGCTCAGTTAGACAAATAAAGTATCCTCCCAAGGTTTCAGTCTTTTTAGTATGAAATTCCCTCTTTGTGTTACCATCCATACACTGTAGCTCATCAAGGAAACACTGTCCAGGGAAACACAAAGAGTGAATGTTGTACTAAAATAAAATTTGCAAAAACTCTGGTATGGTACTTTAAGGTGGACAAGGTCACAACTCCATAACTTGAGTGAAAGTATAGATACTCCTGGTCAAATTATTGCAGTACAAGTAAATGTTGTAAAAGTGTTTGGTTTTGTTATATTTGTTGAAATTCTCTTTTCATCCCAACAGCAATCAAATCAAATGCTCTGACACAAAAATGTGAAAAATTCGGTATCTGTGGCTGTCGCAGGACTGTAATAAGCATAGGCAATCAATTAATTTGGTCAGTATACTGCGTGAACTCTGTCTGAGCACTCACTGCACATGAAAATGTGTTTTGGGCTATTGACCTTGGAGGGAGGCCTGAGTGTGATTTCTTTTTTTGGTTGGACACTTTCAAAATCTAGCTGTCTCTTGCTTGTTCTCTAACATTGCCTAACCAAGCTTTTAAAATTTAGCCCCAGGGCATGTTTAATACCAAGTTTCTGTACCCATCAATATAGTACTGTGTTTATTTGACATGATTAAAAATATATCCTGAAAGAATATGGCTGGATAAAGCGTCCCTGTATGATACGTGAAGCAGGGCTGTGATGTTTTGTCCCTAATTCCAAACTGAAGAAATTATCCCCCATTCACAGGTCAGGCAAAGGTCAAAGGTCCTGCAGCAGCTTAATATCCTGTCGAAGTGAGCATGAAAACCTCTATTCATCACTCGTTTTAAAGCGTTAGTCTAGAGTTCTGTGGAAACTAGATTAATGACTAGTCACTATCACTAGCAAATATGTGTCCAGATTATTGCAAATTTTAAACAAATTTGCAGTAAATTGGCAACAAAAAAAGTGACTTAATGAGAGTTTCCATCCACTGCTGAATATTAGGAGCATCAGGACAGAGCTGAACAAGAAAGCCAAGAACTGGTGGTGCTAATTCTCCATTCCATTTAACCATTGCAGAATAAGAGCTAGCATAAATGTAATTAAATGAGCATTAGTGACAATGTGGAAGAATCTATTGGTGAATGGACCCATGGTCCACATAATGTTTTCTTTGTATAGGAAAAAATACATGCTCATTATCAGTAGAGCACTTCCATGTGTATGTTGACATTACAGTTTTTTTTTGGAAATAACCTTCCTTACACACCTACATGCATAAACACCCTCACCTGAAGTTGACCTCACTTAAAAATTGTCAGAAAAGTTCAAAAGTAAAAGCCCATAAAAATGGTCATTCATTAATTAATCTCTCTCTCTTTCTCTCGCTCTCCAGACCTACTGACTTTGCATGACCTACTTTACTGATGCTGAATTCATATGTGTACTGTGTTTCTGTGTAAATGTTAGTGAGCGTGCACCATCTGAGTGTGTTTTGCTTCTCTGTTTGTTGCAGCTTGTGCAAGATGTCAGATGGCCAGTGGTTCTGTCAGACATTTAATATCATACTCAAGGCTCTCAGATGAAAAGTTATTTTCTCGTGTGTGATGAAAAGGCCAGTTGTGTCTTGTTTATATCACATTTGGTCAGGCTTTGATTAAAAGCATGTGACACAGCTCAGCTCCTCTGTGTATTGTGCAGCTTCGCTCCAAGGTGGTGATACTTGAAGACAGCAGTCTAATTTTAGTTTGCTACCATCCATGTGCTCTTTGCAGGCAAGTTAACTGTCAAATGAAGAAACTGCTCACATTGATTATACAAATAGCTCAAGTTAAAGCAAAATAGTTTCAATTTCTAGGTGTGACGTACAACAAGCATCTGACTTTCTGCTAAAATATCTCCAACTCTGCACAGGATAATAAGGAGTCCGTTTCAGAAGTTATGAGCTGTAGGTAATGAGGCACTTGAAGAGCTGACTTTAATGTAAAAACAGTGAATATAGCTGTAACCAATCAAACAACACTCTCTAAACTTTCCCATCTGACACAGAATTTCTCAATCACAAAATATATTTCAGAAAATATGTTTCTGTTTAATATCAAAGCCAAATTTCACTCATGGGACTGTTTCAGTTATTTTAACCAGACTCCAGCCTCTATGTTGTTCAGCTGTTTCCCACCATCAGTCTCCACAGTTTTACATTCCCTATCTATTGAAAATATTATTTAATTATTTATTTTCAGAATTTTCATGTTCCTGTTTTTTTGTAAACAAGTGGGATTTCATCAGGTGCGATGTGACTCACTGTGTCTGCAAATTGAGTTGCAAGAGCCCCTGTAATTCAGACAAAGGTCTGGGTTATGCTAGAAAAGTATTGCATCTTGTCCAACCACATCAGAAGGCAAATGTGTTTATGCTTGTTCTGATCGCCCACACTTAAAGAGAGAAGAGGAGAGGAGATGCAATTATCATTTAAATATGGGAATAGGGGTGGTTATAGTGCAATGGATAAAACACATGCCATTGGTGTGAGAGACCTGGGTTCAATCCCCCACTGTTACCCATCCACCATTGTGTCCCTGAGCAAGACACTTAAGAGGAATGTGACGTCTGACAAATTTAAGTCACTTTGGATAAAAAGCGTCCGCTAAACGAATAAATGTAATGTAAATGAATAGAGGCACACATTTTCAGACATTCTCTCCTGGAAAGCATTCATAGTGTTGCCCTCGGTTGTAAACACAAAAAGTGACAGAAATAGTTGTGTAACTAATGAAAAAGAGAGTTTGTGAGAGACATTCAGTCCCTGCACAGCTGACCAGTCACGGGGTGAAGTGGTTCAGTGTCAGATTGTTAGTTTCCGACGTCAGAAAGGCATCCACCATCTGACAAGCAGTTCTAATCGAGTATATCAATCTGACAAGCACATCGGCTAACAGTTATTTTCATTATCAATCAATCTGCTGATTATTTTCTCAAGTAATTGATTAATTGTTTTGTATGTGAAACGTCAGAAAAGAGTCAAAAATGCCCATCACAGTTTCCCGGTGTTTAAGGTGACATCTTCAAATGTCTTGTTTTGTCTGAGCAACAATCCATAACTCAAAGATCTTTAGTTAACTATCATATATGGCAAAATGTATGTAATAATCTTGACAAAAGTAACTAACAAATATTTGGCATTTTTGAAAATCACTGAAATTATTTATCAATTGTTAATATTTCCAGATAAACTAATCATTGACCCGACTAATTGTTTAATCATCAGCCACTTTACAAAGCAACCTACCAGGTGTGCAGAGCAGAGAGCAACACTATTAATGAGTCTCTATCAATGTGTGGCCATGCAGGACAGGTATACATACTTTTACCTTTAGTGTTTGAACGGCACTTTCTACAAACTGTTTTGTTTGAAGTATACTGAACCCTTAAAGTCAGCTTTGATGGTCAGAACTGCTTTGATTGTAAGGGTTCATATTTTAGGGCCTTGGGGACAGTTTCTACGGTACATCAGAGGATCCGGTTTAATGGATTTCCTGCTCTGCATTTTACATAGAGATGCCAGACTTAAGTGGGAAAATTGAACCAGTCTGTTCATGAGAGCAAAAACATGATTTTGTGCATGGATGCATGAGCACCCCCTCTTCACACATGCACATAAACCATGCACACAGATATCTTTTTATCAGTGTCCATGGGCAGAGGAGGGAAGGCTCTTGAGGCAGTAATGTTAACAGGATGTTTTGTATAGAACCCTTTGAGAGGCTTGGATTCTTGTGTGTTTGAGAATATATTTCAAGATGTGATTTGAGCAAGATGGAGTGAGTGGGATGGTGCTGACAGAGGATGTCTGAGTTGTGGGAATTTGGTCTGTGACCGTGGAAGAGACGTCTTTGGCCACAGAATCCTACAGTACCTGGAAGCCCTGCAGCAACATCTGCTCCAGCAATTACACTCGTTCCATCTACTGTAAGTGGATGATTGTGATAATGTTGTTCCTGCATGTGCCTTTTTGGCATGGTTCACTTTGGAACTACGCAGTCAGATTAAATCAAACTCAGTATGTTGTGAAAAGAGAATAGGAAAAAGATGCAAATA